ACTTCCTCTGCTTCCACCTGCTGAGGCCACTTGGCTTTCATAACGACACCTAGAATTCCCCATTACCTACTGTGTGTGTGAGAGAGACAGAGAGAGAAAGAGAGAGAGAGGGAAACAGACAGACAGATAGTACTGGAGCTTGAATTTGAGGCCTTGTGCGCCCACATGCCTTCATTTGCTCAAAGCTGGTGCTTTATCATTTCAGCCATACAGCCACTTCCAGCTTTTGGCTGGTTAATTGGAGATAAGAGTCTCACAGATCTGTCTGCCTGAGCTGATTTTGAACTGTGACTCTTGGATCTCAGCCTCCAGGGTAGCCCGGGTGGCAGGTGTGACACCACCTGCTTTTCTGGTGTGGTGAGAAGCTGTGATAAACAGTAGAATAGAAGCTGGTTGTGATGGCACGTGCCTGTAACTGCAGCAATCAGGATGCTGTTGCAGGGGGATCCTGAGTTTGAGGCCAGACTGGGCTACACAGTGAGTATATAATATATCAAATGTACAAGCCTGTAACACGGTCATATAGATCGATTCTCACTGTATGGTTGTTGCTCCATTTCTGTGTGACTGGCAGCACAGTAGGTTTGTGCCAGTGTCTATGTACACATGTATGGATGTGCTTTGGTGTGACAGGCACATGTGCAATGAGCCGTGACATGCGTGTGCAATGGGCCATGGCATACACGTGGAACACGCTGTGGCTTCAGCATCACAGGCAACAGGAAGAATTCCATTCCATTGCCATCTTACGAGCCAGCCTCACCCATGTGGTCTGCCATCCAACAAAATGTCACGCGTCAAGTGGCAGTCCTGGTACTAAATGTCCATTCTTGGGGGTCAGGAATTGTTCCTGGAACTTTCTATATCCAACAACATCAATCCTATGCACGGGAAATGTTTGCCGTATGCGTGGAGGAGTTTTATACAGGGACTGTCAGAGCTGATGGACCTGTTGTTCATCTGGTCACTTGGGAATCCAAAGTGAGCAGGGTCTGGACCGTTCCTCCCTTTACAGAGAGGACGGACTGCCTAGCAGTCAAAGGTGACTTTGTGTCCAGCCATTCTGCAGGCCCAGCTGCCTCAGGGCAGTGGATGGCTGGTGGCAGGGTAGAGACACCATCCTAGCCTACTTACCTGATGAGCTTTTCTGGCCAGGGCCATCCACCTCTCAAGCTCCACTTCTCCACAGCCAGGTTGTCTGGATGCTAAGGTTTTCTGGAGGAGGTGAAAACAGGTCTAACAGCAGCCAAGGCTGATCCCATGCTGGGGCCGGACAGCAGATCCAGTCCTGGATCAGCCAGGCCAGTCAGCTGCCCGCTTCCTGAGTGACTCAGAGCGGGTGGGACACCCAGCTGCCGGCTGATCAGAGACAAAGCAGATGAGGGGAAGCAAGGCTCCTGCTGGCCTCACCCAGCCCAGGGCATCCTCGAACACCCTGTCCTCACTCAGGCCGCCATCATGGAGTGAGCATGATGCGGCTGCCTTCCACACTTCAGGGCCAAGGCTCAGGTCAGGAAGGAGCTTCAGCCAGGCACCCCACTGGGCTCGCCTTGGCTGGGCCGGAGGCTGTGGTCACAAGCACTTTGATCTCATACCGTGCCTGGAACAGGTCTGGCAGCCAGGAGACTCGAGGTAACTGGTGGGCGTCCTCGCTGCTGGTTGACGTGGCCATCTCAGGAGGGATGGTTTTCACTTGGACTATGTAGATAAGGACCAGGAAGGCAGCCCTGCCAGCCTCGGGCCCAGCAAAGGGCTCAGCGCCTTTAGGATCTTCCACGCAATCCCACTCCTGGTGCAACAGATCCCAAACCCACTCCCTGTCCCGTCTCCCTCAAGCCTCTGCCTGCTGGTCCTCCTTTACTGCCAGCCTTTGGTGTCTGCTGGGATCCTTTCTGTGGGAGGGTGTGACGTGGTGGCCTAGGAGAAATGGGCCGGTCAGTCTGGAGAACAGAGTGGGCCCTATCTGGAAGTTGGGGGACTTGCTTCTCATTTGAGCATTGGCACCATTTTTCTGTGTGTCCTTGAAAACCAGTCACTTCCCCTTTCTCCTGATCGTCGTTCCCATGTGTGTCAATTGAAGTGAAACACAAATGTGACACGGGCTGGGGGCTTGGTTGGCTGCTGCTCCATGCAAGAAAGCAAGTTGTGGAGGGATTTGGGTGGTGAGACGTGATGCTCAGGAGCTCCAAGAGCGCTCACACTGTGTGCCCAGCACAATGTTGAAAGGCTCCCCGTGACGGATCCTCAGCTTCTCTGTGCCCCCGCCCCTGGAGAGGAGCCATTGCTCACACCACCACATTGTAGATGAAGAAGAAACTGAGGCACAGATGTAGAGCAGAAGGATTTGATTTAAGGTAGTATCTGTGCTCACGAAGTTTTTGAAAGGATGACTGGTGGGGAGAGTCCTAGATTATTTTAGATGCATTGCTTTGGCCTGGGACTCTGAGAGCAGGAAGTTTCAGGGCAGAAATCTTCAGCTGTGCTTAGCCTGGAAGCTGAGAGGCAGGTCCTGCCTAGAGTCCAGGGCTCAGGCCTGTATCAGTCTTCACCAGGGAGGCCCTGGCTTCCTCTTCCTGACCACTAACTTAAATGTGATTGGCTGATTTCAACTAAAACCGTCTTTGCAAGGGAAGCTGGGAAATGTAGTTTGAGGCATCCAGTCCTTGCAGCTCCATGGGGAGCAAGGTGGCAGGAGACAGCCCCCAGCTCCAGTGGACAGTATCCTCAGCCGCAGATAGGGCTGTGCATCTGCACTTTACATCTAGAACAACTAATTGGAAGACAGATAGGAATCGGGCTGTGTGAAGACAAGTCCTGCATCAACCCTGACCCCATTCTTTGGCCTTAACTATATGTCTGCAGAGTTCGGGAGGGTTTCTGAATGTCTCCTATCACATAGATCAGGGAGCGTGGACGTCAGCAAGGAGCAGGCCCGTCATCCCCCGCAGCTGAGGCCCGAGGTGCTTTCTGGCCCTGAGCAGATGCAGGGCTGGCTGGAGTCCCCGGAGCAAGGCTGGGTCTGCCCACCGCAGCCAGGCATAGCTCTGAATCTCTGAATGACAGATTACAGCAGAAGTCAGACACAGCCAGCCCTGCCTCACCACCCAGGGAATGCACAGTGATCAGGGCCTGCATCTTCTTCCTGGAAACCCCGGCCTAGCCCAGAAAAGACATGTCTTGAACAGACAAAGAAGGGAGGGGGGAGGGACGGCTAGAAACGGCTCCCAGATCGGAGACGGCACTGTGTTGGATAAGGAAGGGCCTAGTCCAAGCCAGCGCTGCATTTCCTGATGGACACAGCGAGTTGCTTTCTGCTTTTAGCCTCAGTTTCCTTATTTGTAATTTGGCGGCCAAAGTACATTCCAGCCATTTCTACACTATTCACACCCAGCGCACAAGGCTCCCGAAGCCTCTACCAGGTGTCAGCTAGGACTAGTGTGCAAACGTTAGAAGAGTGGGAATGACCGGACAGCCCCATGCAGCCATGGCCTGGAAAGTTCCATTACTGCAAAGGTGTAAGTCTGAGCACTCCACAGGATGGGAACTCAGAGCACCTGACAAGTGGGAGCGGAGGGGGCAGGGTGACACGTGGAGGAAGCTCTCTCTCCAGGAACCAAAGCTGGCTGGACCTACTGATTGGAGCCCTCCTGACAGCCCTCCTCTGGCTGCAGCCCTAGGACCCACATGCACGCTCCCTCACAGCCCTGCTGCCTCCTGGTCTCACCTGAGGCCTGGCTGCTGCCCTGGAGACCTTCCATGCAGGTCCTGGAGCCCCAGGCCACTGCAGCAGCAAGCAGGAAAGGGTCAGCCGTCCAGGGCCTGGAGGAGTTGAGGCAGCAAGAGCAGCTGGTCAGAATCGTGGCTGTTTTACCCCCTGGCTGTCCACTTCCCAGCCTGATTCCTTTTGTGCTTTTAAATAATCTGCCCAGGCCAGGATCCTGTTAGTCTTGTTCCTCTTTCTTTTTCTCTTTTTCTTTCTCTTTTTTTTTTTTGTGGGTGACAAGTATGGAGCACGGGGAGGAGGAACAGAACTAATCTGTGTAACACCCCTACTCTGGTCTGGTCACTTGTTTTTCCAAGTCACGTCACCTACCTCAGCTCTCCACGTGACCATTATCCATGCCGTTTTGTGGGTTCAGGAGCCAACCATCAGAGAGGCAAAGCGTCTAGCCCTTGACACACAGGGGCTACACGTAGGAAGCCCCTAACTCACCTCTGGGGTGGGCAGTCTTCCCCAGGTCCAGTCCTGGGGGCCAGGGAGCTGTGTTTTCTGGACAGGAACCAGAGGCAGGAGCAACTGTGGCCTGGGTTCCGTCATGTTGCTCCTAGTCACAAATAAAACAGTCTGCTTTATATAATACAAGCGATTTATTCTCTTATGCAACTGAAAACTCAGACTGGAAGCTGATAAGCCATCCACAGCCCCTGCCAGGCTGGTCTCTGCAGGAGGAAGCCAGGGCAGGCCCTGGTGGAAGGTTGGGAGAGATCACAGCATGCATGTCTCGTTGTTGTTGTTTGTGCCAGCACTGGGGCTTGAACTTAAGGCTTTTCACTCTTTTTGTTGGTGGTGGTGGTGGTCCTGGGGCTTGAACTCAGGGCCTAGGTGTGTCCCTGAGCTCTCTTGCTCAGGACTAGCACTTTTTGAGCCACAGCACCACTTCCAGTTTTTAATTGGAGACAAGAGTTTCACAGCTTTTCCTGCCTGGGCTCGCTTTGAACCACAGTCTTCAGATCTCAGCCTCTTACATAAGCTAGGATTATAGGTGTGGGCCTTTCATTCTTGCTTGGCTTTTTTCCTCAAGGATGACACTCTACCACGGGACCCACAGCTCTCCTTTTGTATTTGTTTTTTCTTCTGGAGATAAGAATCTGCCTGGGTTTTCTGCCCTGGCTGGCTTCCCATTGCGATCCTCAGACCTCAGCCTCTTGAATAGCTAGGATGACAGGCATGAGTCACCAGTGCCCGCCTTTCTCACGTCTCTTTCTTCTTTTCTTTGCAGAAGACAGGCTGTGTCTCTTCACTAAGATGTCTGCTAACCCCCACCTCCCGGAACAGGCAAAGCTCTGAGTAAGTAAGGACCGTTGCCAGCCCCACTTCACACAGGACTGTGGCCAAGCTGGTGGCTCTGCACCCCATCCCAAGAGTTGTCCTCCTGGCTTCCTTCCCCGAGGGTCCCTGGCCTGTCACAAGGATTAACAGCCCCTGAGCCCCTTGGAGTGAGAAAGGAAGTCACTGTCATCACGATTCACTGAGAGGCATTATCTTGGGCTTTTCCTAAAGGACAGAGACAGAAGCCAGCCAGCACACCTCTAATGGCCTTTGGATGACATAGGGGACGTCAGACGCAGGCTGGATGACGCGCAGCGACGTCGGACGCAGGCTGGCCACCTCTCCACCACACTGACGTCAGCCTCAGCAGTCCCCCTCCCCCGCGGCCACTTGGATCGCACGGTGACTCTGGGAACTGCTTCCCATTTCCACTCAGCTGGGTGGGATTTCCTCCCACCTTCGCAGGGACGCCCCGCGGAAAGCCACGGCGATGGCCATGAGGAAGCGAACCCTCAAATTGCTCACCTTCCTCGTGCTCTTCATCTTCCTCACCTCCTTCTTCCTCAACTACTCCCACACCGGGGTGCCCACCACCTGGTTCCCCAAGCAGATGGTCCTGGAGCTCTCAGCAAACTTCAGGAAACTCATCAAATTCCAGCCGTGCACCTGTGCCAGCTGCCTCAGCCAGCACGGGGTCTCAGCCTGGTTCGACCAGCGCTTCAACCAGACCATGCAGCCGCTGATGAATGCCCACAACGCCCTCATGCCCCAGGACACCTACCAGTGGTGGCTGGTGAGCCGGGGGTGGGGAGCTGAGGGGCGGGGTGGGGCGGGGCACAGAGCCATGTGCTCAGATCTGTGGGCACCCCGCCCCCCGGGTACTGCCAGGCATTGGGCAGGAGGTAGAAGATCGCAGTGTGTTCCCTCATTCACTCACTCAGTACTATTGAGTAGCTGTGGTTTGGAAGTCCGAGCAAATTGTTCTTGATGAGTTGCCTGTGGCTTGAGATGACAGAAATGATTGGTCTCACAATTCCAGAGGCCAGTGGTCTAAAGTGGAGGACGCGTTGGCAAGGGTGATTCTTTCTGGAGACCCTTGGAGTGCATCCATTCCTCCGTGATGCCCCCAACTTCCGGGGCTTCTCTGTGTCTTGCTCTGCCTCTGCCCTGCATGAGCCTCCTTCCTTGGCTCTCTGGGCTGTGCCCAGCCTCCTTCTCCTCTTTGAGGATGCGTGTCCTTGGATCTGGGGGTAATCAAGGCCAGGAGATGTGGAAATGCCGCTTCTCGGGTGGTGCCCTGTGGGGTGATGCACTCCACACCTCCCCCCACCTTTTCCTGGAGCCAAGGCTGCGGCCCCTTGCACCCATGGAGACAGCACCCCTTGCATGCCTTCCCCGGTTCATGCTCCACACGCATTCTGAACGCTTGCCTCCCTGGCCCAGCACCACAGCCCAGGCCACCCTGCGTTTTCAAGGAGCTGGAATCACCAGCAGCAGACATCGGTTACTGCACACCGATGGTATGCAAAGCTAGTCAGGATGGCAGGAGGCGGGGTCTCGGAATTGGGCATCTTCCGCCACGTCCACCTCCCTCTCTTGTAACTTCTGTTCCATGGAACATTCCTTCCGGGGGAGCCGATGGGGAGCTCACCCCGCCATGCGTGGGAAGCCTGGGGAGCTAGCCTGTAGAAAGACACCGGGTGCTCCCAACTCTGCCATGGTGGCTTCCCCCAGGTGGCCTCAGCCGAGTCCCTTCTTGGGCCTCAATCTCCCCGTTCACCGAGTCCTGCTTCTCCTTGAACCATCTTTGCGGTGGTGGCTTTGGTCCAGCCTCGGTGTCATGATGCCCCCTGGCCCCGGCCCTGGCAAGAGAAGCAGTGTAGCAGTACAGGGGTATCTTCATATCATGCACCACCCCCAGCACTGACCCTCAAATCACTCAAAGCTAGCACTCTACCACCTGATCCATACCTCCCCTTGTGGCATTTTGGTGGTTAAGTGGAGATAAGAGTCTCACAGACTTTCCTGCCTGGTCTGAGATGCTCAGATCTCTGCTTCTTCTTGAGTAGCTGGGATTACAGGCGTGAGCCAACACCGCCAGTCTACTGCTGCTACTCTGTTGAAAGGCATAATAAACAAGCCCTGCAGCCCAGGCTCTAGAGTCTGCTGGGGGGGGGGGGGAATCAGGAGCAGGATGGAAGTGACACCCCCGTTGGTGGGAGTCTTGCCTCTTGCCAGGGCAGGCGCCTGACACAGGTTGGTCAGCGTCCTTGTCTCGTGGCTAGCGCAGGTCCTCATGCTTAGTAGGTACACAACAAACCCATGCAGAGTGAACCTGTGAGCTCTTCCCCGTGTCTCCCGTGTGGACCAGACCCCCAGCCATCCACGGCTGGTGGCCTGGGGACTCGGTGTCCGGCTGCACAACGCACCAGGCGGTCAGCACAGCGCTCCCCTCACGGTGTCTCCCGACTCTCGCCACAGAGGCTGCAGCGGGAGCGGAAGCCCAGAAACCTGAGCGACATCGTGCAGGAGCTGTTCAGCATAGTGCCCGGGGACGTGGACCCGGTGCTGGAGAAGAGGGTGGTGGGCTGCCGGCGCTGTGCCGTCGTGGGCAACTCAGGCAACCTGCGGGAGTCCTTCTACGGGGCTGAGATAGACAGCCACGACTTCGTGCTCAGGTGGGTGCTCTGCGCAGGCCGCCCCTCCCCACACCCAGGTCCTAGCTCAGGTCAGAATGCCAAGGCTCCCTCCCTGGACTCCCTGCACACTCTGGGCCTCAGTTTCCCCTCACTGTTGAAAGATGGAGAAACACCTCTGGGTGTGGAGACCACACAAAAACTCAAGCGAGAGCCGGGCGCCAGTGGCTCAGGCCTGTTATCCTAACTACTCAGGAGGCTGAGATCTGAGGATCACAGTTCAAAGCCAGGGTAGGCAGGAAAATCCATGAGACTTATCTCCAATTAACCACCAGAAAACCGGAAGTGGCTCTGTGGCTCAAGTGGTAGAGCGCTTGCCTTGAGCTGAAGATCTCAGGGACAGTGCTCAGGCTCATAGTTCAAGCTCCATGACCCCCCGACACCCCCAAATCAACTCAAGCTGGCAATCATTGGAATTCACCCCCATTTCACAGCCTAGGCCATCCCAGAACCAATATGCTTTTAATGTCGTGTATTTCCCATGTCCCCAAGTAAACACCCCTGGAAGAGACCCCGAGTGTACCCTAGGAGGTCACACAATCCTCACCACACCACTCACAAGATCGAGTCCCAGGTCAAGAAGGGGCAGCCTATCGCCCACCCGCCTTCTAGAAAAGTCTCGTGTTTCTATTCATCTGGTACCCTGTCTTCAGACCCTCTCCTAGTGTCCAAGGGAAGGTCCCCTTGAGGAGGAGAGTCAGATTCACAGAGAACTAAGTTCAAGGCTGCTATTGTGGGCCCCGAGGCCTGGGATGTACATTCTGAGCTCAGGTCTCCTGGGTCACACAAAAGGACTGTAAGATGCCTACTGGGCGTGGTTGCTAGTGACTGGTGAGCTGTGAAGGAGATAGGTCAGCTCAACTAGAGCTCCTAAGAGCCAAACAAGAAGGCTGGGGTCCCCTTGTTCACATGAGGAGACGGAGGCAGGTTGCTCACCCGAGGTCGCCGCAGAGCTAGCTCCGGGCCCCACTAAGCGCCACCTCGCTGTCTCCTCTGTACCCCCAGGATGAACAAGGCACCCACCTTGGGGTTTGAGGCCGACGTGGGGAGCAAGACCACCCACCATCTCGTGTACCCCGAGAGCTTCCGGGAGCTGGGAGAGAACGTCAGCATGGTCCTAGTCCCCTTCAAGAGCACAGACCTGCAGTGGGTGATCAGCGCCACCACCACGGGCACCATCACCCAGTGAGTCCCTCCGCGCGGCCTCACGGCCCGTGTCCCACCGTGCTGTCCTCTGACCACATACAAGCCCGGCCACCTTGCGGGGGCCCAGCCTGACCACGGTGCCCTCAGGCCCCAGAGCATTCTGCCAGGGCCTTGCTGCCCAGACTCCCAGGGCACTCTTGGGTAGAACATACTAGAAGGGGCTCCACGTGTGGTAGTTCCGCAGGGAAGGATCAGAGGCCTCCAGGCCTGTGCCTCTAATGCCTGGCTCTGGTAAGTGCTTGTCCCCTAGGAGTGCAGGCATTTTTCTCATCATGCACCACACCCAGTCCATGAGATTTATCTGTCACCAAATCCTCACTGTCTTTAGCGCTAGTCTCCACCAAACCACTTGATCCAGAGCCCATGCAGCCATCTGGATCTAATTCTTAAGGTCCTAACTAACTCTTCCCAGTGAGCCTTGGCTTCCATTCGCCAGAGGTCCTCAGGCCTTCCTGGTCCTAGGCCAGGTCTCCTGGGAACACAGTCCGACCCAGGACCTTGTGTTCCTGGAACTGCGTAGGGCAGTGCCTCCTGGGAGTGAGGGAAGAACCTGGCAGAGAGGAGCCGGCCAGGTGGCCCTCTGAGCGGCCATCTTCCCAAGCCTGGCCCCTCAGGGTGCTTGGCAGCCTGGATGGCACCAGTAAGTCTAATTTCATAGACCTTGGGTGAGCACCGGGGACTGAGTCACCCATCACCCAGCTCCTCTGCAGCTGGGCACAGGTGTTGTACTCTTCACACTGTGCCTGGAGCAAATCCTCATCTAACTTTGTAATGGCAGAGCATCCCGAAGCCAGCCAAGATCGCCCCCTGGCGTCCTCCATGGGCTGCTGCAGGAGGGTGGCTCAGAAAGCAGGAGTGGAGGCTGGAGAGGCTCTCCGGGTCCGGCCTCACTGTCCAGAGGGTCCCCAGGTGACCTCTCCCACACTAACCATCTTCTCTCTTCCCCAACCGCAGCACCTACGTCCCCGTCCCCCCGAAGATCAAAGTGAAGCAGGATAAGGTGCGTGGGGCTCAACCTGCCTCCTCCCAGCTGCCTCCTCCCAGCTGCCTCCTCCCTGCCTCCCATTGGGCTACAGAGAGTCTGAGACTGTCTTCAAGCAGGGGCACCCAGCATGGCCTCGCTGCAGGGGAGAGACCCACAAAGCAGGGGAAACTTACACAGATTCAAGTCCTCGGTCCAACCACACAGACGCCCGCCCACAGCCCACCCTGGGCGGGCCACCCAGTGATCCAGGCCTTCTGCCTGCCCTCCAGGCTGTAGTTTGACCATCACTCCTGGGTGCAGCAAGTTCTCCAGGGCAGACCCACCAATCCTTCCTCATCGCTCTCTTCCCCAGGGAAACCCCTGGTTTGGGAATCTCAGGTCTCATTCTTGAGTTTCCTGGGATTTCTATTTCAATGTCACCATCCCTGGGGGACTCTCTTTCTAGGAGTTGTGGCCACAGTTCTCTGTGTCGTGCTTAGCTCTCTCCTCGCCTCTCAGGAATGGAGCTGTGTGCCTTGCCCCAACCCGCTGTGGAGGAGGATCCTCTACAGCCGTACCACCGTGGCCAGGGTACCCCGTTAATGACCCCGGACCCCTTTCCTTGCTGACTTGAACTCACCCAAGGCCCCATCTTTGTCCCTAGATCCTGATCTACCACCCGGCCTTCATCAAGTACGTCTTCGATAACTGGCTGCAGGGCCATGGGCGGTACCCGTCCACCGGCATCCTCTCGGTCATCTTCTCCATGCACGTCTGTGATGAGGTGCGTGCGTGCGTGTGTGCGTGCGTGCGTGCGTATGCTGGCGAGGTGGAGAGGGGCTCACTCGGGGGCTGCTTCCCCCGAGAACTCAGCCTCTGTGTCCCCACCTCTTCTTGAGCTCTGACGCTAAAACATTCCGCAGGCATTTTGGGGAGTCACTGTGCAGGAGCTGGGGCCCGTTCCCATGATTCCCTCGGGCTCTTCTCCCTTGCTGTCTGTCCCTGACACCCGATTTTCCTGCAGGTGGACTTGTACGGCTTTGGGGCAGACAGCAAAGGGAACTGGCACCACTACTGGGAGAACAACCCATCGGCAGGGGCTTTCCGGAAGACAGGCGTGCACGACGCGGACTTCGAGTCCAACGTCACTGCCGCCCTGGCGGCCATCAACAAAATCCGCATCTTCAAGGGGAGATGACGCCCAGGGGGGGCCTGGGGGTGTCCTGCACCGCCTCGCGCCTCTCTCTGCTCACAACCGCAGCATCTTGCTGGAGCCAATCCGTTCTGGAAGCTTCCAGGGCCGGCCTCGGGTATGCTCCAGCGTGCTCCTGGCCTCTCGCATCTCCACCTTTGACATCAAAGTTGCCCCATTGTGTGCCAGGGCCGCAAAGAAGGCCCCGGCCCCTCCCCCGCGGCGGTCCCCAAGCCGGGGGAAGGTGGTGGGAAGGACACAAGCTTCAAAGAGGACAATCATTGGGGCTTTTGGATTTCAGGGCACAAAACACAGTGGACTCCCCTATTCCAAAGGCCAGGCAGTCTCCCAGGAGGAAAGTGGGTGGAGGCTGACTCCCGAGGAGAGCTGCAGCGCACTCAGCACCCAGCTCCCGCTGGGATGCTTGTAAATGACCGTTACCTCCCGGACAGCCACGCTGGGCCATCCAGGCACAGGGCGACCATGATGCCCTTTGCACGAAGCCTGGCCTCTTGCTTGGTGTGACCACCCCTCGGTCCCCCTCTGTTTCCAAAGCTCCCGGAGGGGCGTGGCCTGTTTCCCACAGGAGTCACGTGCGTCCCCATGCGCGATCTCCTCCCAGAGCACGCCTGCCCGCATGTGCCTTTGAACTCGGGGAGACACGCATGCGTTGGCTGAAAGGAGGCCAAAGCTCCAACTCCAGAAAGCGGGGGGCTCCACCAGCACCCCGACTTTTGCTGCATAGCGGGCGTCCTTTTCTCCCCCCAGTGTTCTGAGCCAGCTCTGGAGTTGGAATGAAGCTAGGATGGCGGGGTCACGCAGGGCATGTCCGCGGGCTGGACACACCGTCCAGCTTGGTGTCTGTGACCCTCGGAAGCCACACGAGGACCCCCCGGCAGCCAGCACTGCCCCCGGGGGCCTCAGGTCTGGGCCAAGTAGGGGCCACCCCTGTGGTTTCCTGGGGGCCAGAGTGGGGACACCCACGAAATGGCGACCGGCTCTACATACCTCGTCTCACTCCGTCCTGTCTGCGCTCCTCTCCCCGCCTTGTTGCCTTCCTGGTTATTTATTGGTATTTTAAGCAAGTTCAGCTGACATGGCGGGCATGCGCTGGCTCTGCTGCTCCTGGTGTTGCGTTAAGCTTCAGAGCTTGGAGCGGGGAGCTGAAGGACACCCCTCTCCTAGTCCTCACGGGGGTGGGTGTCTGGGTTCTCCAGGCTTCGGGGTGTGAGGGGGTGCAGCCCCGGGGTTCGGGAAATGATCTGTGCATGAGCTTGTGCTCCCTCCCTTTTTTCCTACTTCATACTTCCCTACTTTCCTTCCTTCCCTGCCTCTGCCCATCTCTCTGTTTCTGCCAGTATTGGGGCGTGAACTCAGGGCCTAGGCACTGACCCTTAGCCTTTTTGCTCAAGGCTAGTGCTTTACTGCTTGAGCCACAGCTCTACTGCTGGCTTTTTTTTTTTTTAATTCTTCTTTTTTGGAAATGGGAGTCTGGCAGGCTGTCCTGCCCAGGCTGGCTTGGAGCCTCCTCCTCAGCGCTCAGCCTTCCGAGTGGCTTCAATGACAGGCATGAGCTGTGCCCTTCCTTCTTTCTGCCTCCTGCAGGCTAGGAACCTCCTGCGTGCGTCCAGGCAGCTGCTCACGGGCTGGGGGAGGCGAAGGCAGGCACTGGGCAGCGGGGCCGCGCATCCGCCCCCTCGGCTTGGAAGGCGCTTTGGTCAGGGGCCACACATGGCTTTAGGTCATAGGTGAGAGTCTCCAGAAAATGCACACCAAGGTTGTGTGCTCTTCCTGAGTCTGTATCAGAGCCATTTTTTGTGTTTGTTTGTTTGATTTTTGGTCAGTCATGGGCACTGTCCCTCAGCTCTTCAGCTTAAGGCCAGTGCTCTACCACTTGAGCCACAGCACCATTTCTGGTTTTCTGGTGGTTCATTGGAGATGAGAGTCTCATGGACTTTCCTGTCCAGGCTGGCTTTGAACCATGATCCTCAGATCTCAGCCTCCTGAGTAGCTAGGATGAGGATGACAGGCGTGAGCCACCAGCACACCGCTATTAGAGCATTTTTGTCAGAGCTTTTAGTAGATTCTCAAAGATTCATAGCCCAATGGTTTTTGTTTTCTTAAACACAAACCTGCTTCAGCCTTGCAATCTTCAGCCTTGCAATCTTCAGCCTTGCAATCTTCTCAGATTTCAGACTAAGAGGTGGTTGAGTCACAGTGAGGCCTTGGATCTGGACGGTACCTCTGGGGTTCCAGGGCTGTGTGAGCCCCACCCCTTCCTCCTGCCACGGGCCGGGTGAGGGGAGAGGGCAGCAGGGACCGGCTCAGGCCAGGCTGTGGCTCCTTGGGTTGCACCGTGGGAGGACGGGTCCCAGAGGTGGATCAGCTGCCCGGAGCTCATGCTGCTGTGTTGCTTGCCTGCCCCCCTCCCGTCCCTCCCCAGGAGGATGCGCCACGGTGACCCCTCCAGCCCACGAGCCCACTGTCCACCTTACTATGAGAAACAAGGGCCCAGATAGGCGACAGGGCTTGTTCTGAGACCCCGTGCTCATGGACAGCTTGAGCCAAAGCAGGACAGAGTTGGCTCTGTTTAAATCGCCCAGGGGCTCTTGGCTCCATCCTCAGGCCCTCCCAGGACGCTGTGCATGCCCAGCTCAGTCCATCCACCCTCTGGCAGCCAGGCCAACATCTTCTCTTAACCAGGTACCCACCTGTGTCTCATCGCTGTAGCAACAGGTGCAGAGCTGAATAAAAACCAGTCTGGGTGGCCAGAATTAAATACACCAATAAGCTTAGTTGGTTGGCTGAAGGAGAAACGGGTAATATGCCACAGGGAGGCCTAGAGGGCAGAGAACAGCATGCCCTCCTCAAGGAGCCAAGGGGCTGCCAGCCCCACAGCCAGACCAGAAGCCCCCGACACAGGGGCAGCCCAGGATCCTGGGGCCAATCAGCAGCCTCTGACCCAGCCTAGTTTCCCAGCGAAGCAGGAGTCAGTTTTGGCAGGTTGCGCCTCGCCCCTGCCCTGCCGTGGAGGGGAGACAGAGGGGCTCCGGCGGCCCAGGAGAAGGGACAGGAAGCACCCCGAGGCAGGCTGGGAGAATCTGGGAGCGTCGATTAGCAATCCACATGGGCTGGCCTTGACGGGAAAAGCTACATCCAAAAACCCAATTCCCAAACCAGGAGTTTGTTGACCAAGGATTCATGGGCAGCGTTAAGACAGGACCACGAAGGTCTGGGAGTGTCTTAGGGCCGTAGCAGCTGGGATGGGGCAGTGGGAGGGGTTGGAACCCACAAGAACTTTTCAGATGGTGACATTTGCTCCAGGAGCCCCCGAAACAAGGGGCATAAGAAGTAGCACTTGGCTTCTCTTACCTGGCCATGATGGCCATCCCGGGGAGCCAAGCCCAGAGTGGCCCTGGAGCAGCTGTGAGGCCGGACGCTGGCCGTGTGCTCTCAGTGGCCAGCTCCTGCCCTCATGAGCTCTAGATGTCATCGTGTCCATCTTGGGCCCCTGAGCTGGGGCCTAGGTGACCCCGTGCCATGCATGGGGCTGCTTAGCCCTGTGACAAAGCCGCCAGCCTGCTTCTAAGCCACTTTTTCCTTCCAGGTTAAGGGTCAGGATTCCCCCCCCCCCAATTGGCTGCTCGCTGTCAAGGGCCCAGAGCAGGGCTAAGCTTTCAACCTGAGTGTGTTGTCCCCTCCCCTCACAGGCTAGGGAGGGTGTGGTCCTCTTCAGCACAACTCCCTCCAAAGCCAAAAGTACTTGAGCACTTTTTCTTCTTTCTCTGCCATGTCCTCTGGTTGGTTGGTGGTGATGTGAAATTTGCTTCCTCTCCCCACGTTCATTTTGTTCATTTTGCAGCCGCGTGTCAGTTGCTCTGGGTGTATTTTTGAATGACATTAGCTAGTTTGCCGCCTTCAGCCCCCGCTGTCTTATTTATTGTTGAATATTTACAATGATCCGAATCAAAGTGAATTAAAACAGAGCTATTTTATTGTTCAGGTGTGTTTGGTGTTTTTTTTTCTAGCCAGGGCTCTGGGTGTGGTTGGTTCTCCACAGGATGTTTCAATGGGCTGATGGGTTAAGTGGAAAAATGGCTCCACATTCCATCTCCCCAGAGTCCCTGGGGCAGGGTCCTCCCCCACCAAGTGCCCACAGGGAATTCTGGGAGGAGCAGAGCATTCCAGGTACAGCCGCGCTGCTCCTTGATGTGTGACTGTGGTGAGTCCCCTGACCTCTCTGAGTCTCAGGTCAAATAAGAACCAACAGAGCAGAGTGAAATCACCAACTAAAGCTCAGGATGCTCAGCTGCTCTGAGTATTTGCTTGGCCAGACAGCGTAATGTACAGAGGAAGAGTCCACTCGTGACAGATCACTGCACCCGGGGAAGGACACACAAGTCAGGTTCAAAGTTGGCATGAATCTCTCATTTTAAAAGAAGAGGAAAAAAGCCAGGCACCAGTGGCTCATATAGGGTAAGCCTAGCTTCTCAGGAGGCTGAGATCTGAGGATCTCTATTTGAGGTTGACATGGGAAGGAAAGTCCATGAGATGGTATCCTCAGTTAACTTGTTAAAAAGCCAGAAGTGGAGCTATGGCTCAAATGGCAGAGCACCAAGCTTGAGAAAAAAAAAAAAACACATAAAGGACAGCATGCAGGCCCTGAGGCCTAAAACCACTACTGGAACAAAAACCAAAACAAAGCACAAGTCTGGGATAAAGTTGGTGCTGGTGTCCATGGTATGTGTGGCGCTTTCTAGCTTGCACACCACCTCGTTGGGCAGGAACTTGAATTCTCAAGGCTAGGGACTGGCGGTGAGTAGAGGTGGGGTTTAGGCTTCCTGTCCACCCAGCTGCCTCCTAGTTACTGTGCGCAGCCCATAGTGTTCCTACGGCCCACTCGGGAGGTCGACCTGCAGCAAAAATGTGCAAATCCAGGAGCAAAGTGTGCAAATCCAGGAGCAAAGTGTGCAGATCCGTTTGCATCATGGGCCCAGGCTGATGAGCTGTGGGTGAAGTGGAGCAGGCTGCGGAGCTTGTCTGAGCCCAGCTTCCTCATCAGGTAAAGTTGGGGTGCCTTAATGCCTACATGAACACTTGTCCTGAGGATACTAGGAGTTTGCCTTGGCCATGGACTTTGCAGGGCCTCTGGCACCCAGGAAGCCGCCAGCACTCCACGCGGTTTCTTAATGTCTAGAATGTTCTTTCCTATAACACTTCTCTATGAAGGCCCTGTCTCCACTCCCAGGCCTGCTTGCTCTGTTGTTAACATCGCCCACCCTGATTTCTTTCCCCAGACTTAATATAGGTTGGCGCATTTCATAGCTGCAATGTGCACAAGTGGCCACTAGGTGGAAGCACACCAGTGTTTTCCTTGCCGCCCATAGGTCAGCAGGTCACCCAGTCACCCTTGGTCCTGTGCTTTGAGTGGCACCTGGGCCTCAGCCAGAGTCTCTGGCAAAGAGTTAACCCAGGAAAGTGCTGAAGACAGGCCTCTAGGATGCTCATTCACCCCCTGTGTACACTGGCTCCAATTCGCTTCTACCCAGGGCTTACAAACATTTCACTGTCTCCATAATCAGCGTCTCCATATAGCCTGATGCCAGGCAGGGAGGGGACTGGAGCCCTGGGGATCCCTGCGGCCCGGTGACACTGGTGGCAGAGCGGGGGCCTGGGCAGACAGCAGAAGAAACCCTGGGTCAGGAGGGGAGCTGCTGAGAGGTGATGGAGGGTGCAGCAAGACTTCAGAAGTGAGGGCTGAGTGCTCGGGAGGGGTATAAGAGCCCTGTCCCCTGGGGACACAAGCAGACTCGCAGGGATGCCTCAGGTTAAGGTCCCTTGCATGTGAGCCCCACAGGCTAGTTCTGGCTGGTAGAGCTCGCTTGTTTCAGGGCTGAAGTCTTCTAGGCGAGGCAGCTGTGCAGAGCACCTGGTGCTGGTGACCACCAGAGGGCGCCATGAGCCACCTGCACGGGAGCTCGTGCAAGGCGGGCAGCTGGAGGCTGGCCACGGAGAGAGCCGGCAGCAGTCTGGCCTAGGAACAGACAGCACGGGCTCAGGTGCAAGGTCAGGACTTGGAAGGACTTTGCCTCTACTGTAGTTCTAACAAACCTATCGCCTCCCAGATAAGGACGGCCTCTCTGCCATGCAGCTCAGTAAACAGGTTGAAAGAAGTGGTCTGGGCCCACCTGGAGAAGCTCCAAATGCCAAGCCAGCATGGCTGGGCTGGCTGCTCTGTGGCCCGTCTGGTAGCGCCGTGTGGCACACTGTTTTCTGACATGTAGGAACTGCCAGGCCTGAGGGTTTCTCCTGGCCTTCCATCTGCATCCATTCTCCTTGACACTCCTGTTATTTCTTTGCTGTGTGACCTGAGGGGGAGTCGCGGCCTCTCTGAACCATACAGTCTGAATCTGTAAAATGGTATTAAGTGACATGATAGATACTGAGCAAAGTCTCGGTACTGGGTCCTGAGTCCTTTCTGTCTGTGGGGTCACAGTTGACTCTGTATCAGTCAGCATGAAGCAAGCTAATGCTGCAATAACAAATAAGCCTCGGATTCCAGCAGCTTACTCTCATCAGCCCTTCCCCTGGCAGCCTTTCTCCCTTAGCCCTTCCCCTCCACTCTTTCTACCCTTCCTCCAGGAACCTCCCTCCCCCCAGACCCCCCCCCACCAGGGCCTTTCCCCCTCAACCTAGATTTGGCCCTTATATTTCAATCGGGTAATATCAACGTCATATAAATTACTAATTTGAAATATATGTTGCTGGTATTTTACTAATTAATAATTAGTAATACTACTAATTAAGCATCAGTCAATGCATCAGTCAGCTGCTGCGTAACAACCCATACATCTATAACAAACTCGGCAGGTCTCTGCGTCAGGCTTCCACTTACTCCACCTTGCGTCAGGCCTCAGCAATCCAGGACTTCTCTGTTGTTGTGTCTGACATTTCTTGGCCCAGCATACGTGTGGAAGGGGGCAAAACCCGCCAACAAAGCACATTGAAAACTTGGCTTTGGTCACATCCTCTGAAACACAAGGAGGAGGATTAAAGGCAGCTCCGGCCTCTTCGACGTTGCTGTGGTTAGAGCGTCCACCCTCCTTGAACCTGGTCAAGCAATGGAACTCTTCGGCTGATACAAAATGGTAGATGTAATTGTGCTACCTGTTCCAGGCCTCAAGAGTCTGGAAGCTTCCAGTTCCCATCTCCCAGAAGACTTATTCAGGAGCCACCATAGCATAAGGAAGCTCAAGGAGTTCCCTGGAGATGGCTATGTGGACAGGAACTTAGGCCAATACAACTTGTCGGCCTTGTGAGTGGGCCATGTTAGAAGGGCATTCTCCAGCGCCAGTGGAGCTGCCCAGACTACGTCACGTGGAGCAGGGCTGTGCCACCCCGTGAGGCCCTGCCTACTCCGTGGTAGGCTTGTGAGCTGGATCCATTAGAACCATTGTCTTGGGGCCCATGTGTCATAACCAGAGACAACCAGAATAGACGGCTGGGTGCAAAGCCAAGAAGGAGTCAGGAGATGCCGCAGATGAAGACTCTCACCAAGGACGCCGACCCAGGGCCGCCCGCACGGCCCTGTGACGGCGCTGTCTCTATGGTTAAACCTTTCCAGGATTTTGCATCAAGATGAGCACCAACTCTCGGTCCTTGGTAGGAAGGTAAGATAATGCAGCCATGATGGGAAACAGCTTCAGAACTGTACAGTTAGAACGGCCATGGGACCCGGCTACTCCACCTCCAGGCATGTGGCCAGGAAAATGAAATCAGTGTGTGGATGCGAAGTCTTTGAACCCCCAGGTCTTTTCCACACTATTCACCATGGTCAGGAAATGGGGTCGGCCTACGAGTCCTTCAGCTGGT